AAGAGGAAAGAGGCACAGTGTTGGACAACAATCAACGCACAGCGTTAGACAACTTTGTGTTCAATTTTCTTTTGAAGACGGTAGTGAACCCAAGCTTGCAAATAGCTCATTACAAAGGAAGAGCTATTTAATATTTAATTCCTTTGTCCAATAACAAAGATATAACCACTTTGCATTCTCATTGCAACTTAGTAAAGGATCATATCCCTCCTTTTGTGGAGTAACAGTAACTTTTCAATTCCTTTTATCGTTATGGGGTCTGGAGGAGGAATATTATATGTTTCAGCTGTTACGTGGGTTTCGGCACTGACAAAGGCAGACAGGAAACGGAGTACGTTTTATTCCTCCATATAGTAGTTTGTAGCATTCAGATTTTATTTAAAAAACAAATGGTAACTATTTCAGTTCCTTTTTAAAAACAGGAAGTAGTTTTCTTAAAATTGCAACTACTGTATATAGGAATCAACTGTTTTGGGAGCCTTGGAAGTATACTGTGCCATCCAGAGTAGACCTTTGGTCTAGATAGGCAGGGTAGAAATCTAAATAAATAAATAAATAATGGTAGCTCATTACTCTTAAAATAACTTTTCAGGCTCTTCCCAATGCTATTTGCCTGGACTTCACTGCTTCTGTTGAAGAACACATGTGCACCTCTCACCTTCCATATTGATAAATCACATTGTCTTCTCAGAGAAGAGAAACGTTACCTCTCAATTCAGAGCTGGCTAACTTCCCAGTTCATGAGTTGCTCCATTCAGGCCTGATACCAGCATGTTTCAACTTCATGTGATTGCCTCAAGGTCCAGATGAATGAATGAATGAATTGAATGAATGAAATGAATGGGGTGTTCCTCCAGGCAACTGTGGATGGGATTTTGTGACCATGAGGCACATGTGTGGGTGACTCATAAGAACAAAGGGTGATGGATGGATGGCATGGCATGACAGTAATCTTTCCCCCTCTTCCAATGCTTTTAGATCCCAGGGATCTGGACGATATATGTGGCTTAGCAAATTACTCTGACAGTGCCCGGAGGGATCAGAAGAATCCATGGCATGGCATGCTGCAAGATAACGTGAGTAGGGGGCTTGCTCTGTGCCACTCCCTGCAGTGGCATTACGATAGGTTTTATTACTCCTTTCCAGAGGTCTAGAGCAGGCTTGTCCAACCCGCGGCCCAAGGACCGCATGCGGCCCAGGTCAGCTCGTAATGCGGCCCAGGGAGAGAGGGAAGGAAGGAGTGGGAGGGGAGGGGACGGGGGGCTGCATGACTGCATTGCACCATCCCCATAAATAGGTGGACCCCCTCCCGGCCCCATAAAGCCACCGGAGTCAAAGCTGGCAGCCTCTGCTGTCTGAGATCGCAGCTGCCGGTAAGTGCGCTTGGAGCGTGGCTGCGGAGGATGGCTAGGGCTGCCCCCCCCCATGCGGCCCAAACCGAATTTTCATCTTCTAATGTGGCCCAGCGAAGGGGAAAGGGTGGACACCCCCGGGCTAGAGG